TACCATATATATATATATATATGCTTGTGGTTTTTGCTGCATACATGCATGCAGACGTAAATCCCATGTATCCGCACGCAAATGCCGCGGAGGAAGACAGACATCCAGACAGACAGACCTTCACCCGGTGGCAAAGCCCGGAAGAGCTTTGCAACCACAAGCCGCTGGCTGCCATTGAGGGTGAAAGAGGCAAATATCTCCAGGGCTCCGGTTTTGGCGTTTACGGCGCGCCAAAACCGCACGCGCAGCTGCTCGCTGCCCGCCGACCCACCCGAGGTTCGTTGTGTGTTCAAGTTTTATCTTCTTCTTTTTCTCTTAACCATACAAATACACAAAGCACTATCACAAGCAGTACGATCCAGATGCCGAAAGTCGGATCAGCTCTACATCACGCGGAAGTTAAGTTTAATTTGCGCGCAGATGTTTGATAGCAAGTATTCAGGAGATTGTGTATAGAAGGAGGAGATCTGGAAGCACCGCGCTTCCAGCACTCCGATGAACCACCGTGGAAATTCCCGTGAACTTTATTGTACGATGGCATAAATTAGGCGCACGACCTCTGCGCAGCAAGCTCTCGGCCTGGGGCCGACGGTGCCGGCAGTGGTCTCGAGGAATTAAACGTCGAGGTATCACGCTTTCGGCCTGGGGCTCCCGCTGCCGGTGGAGGGTTTAAACGTCGAAGTAGCAAGCTGTCGGCCTGGGCCAGCCACCCGCTGCCGGCGGTAGTCTCGAAGCGTTAAACATCGAAACAACAGGGTTTTGGCCCGGGGCTCCAGCTGCCAGAAGTGGTAAGTTTTCGGCCTAGGGCTCCCAGCAAGCGGAAATCCAGAAAATCCCGGAGGCATTGGAAATGGCCATTTAAATCCTCCAGACCATTACCGGCAGCGGGGCCGCTTAGGATTTGGGACTTTGGGCTTAGGATTTAGGATCTCGGGTTTTGGATTTAGTGCTCTGGGTTTCGGACTTAGAATTTTGGGTTGAGGATTTAGGATGGCTGGGCTAAGGATCTAAGATTTTAGATTTTTGGTTTAGGATTTGGGTTTAGGATTTCCGGCCGCTACGAGCCGCTGAAACCGAGGAGTTTAGGATTCAGGATCTTGGGCTTTCGATCAGGATTTGGGATTTTGGGTTTAGGATTTTCCGGCAGCTGCGAGCCGCTGAAAATGAAGGCCCCCGGGATTTCTGGATTTCCGGCTGCCAGGGGCCACTTTAGGATTCAGGATTGAAGATATTGAGTTTTGGATTTGGGGTTTGGCTTTTTTGATTTGGGGTCCGGGCGGACGATTTTCTCAACCAGAAGCACCAGTTGATGGACAATAGACCTTGAGCGATGCATCTGCTCGCGCTGTATACTCTCCTTTCTCCGAAATGCATCCGGCATGAGCCCCGGGCGCATCGCCCTCCACACGTAGATCCTCGCGGACCTGCGTCGGTGGCAGGTCCGCAGCGTCCGCTGCCTGAAAGCGTCTGACCCGCTCACTGTCGGGGTTGTCTTCATCACCGTCGCGGCAGTCCATGGGACAAACGGCTCTGGGGTTGAAGTTTACAGGTTTCTTCATTAAATCCAAGCCGTGCAGCCAGTCCATTAGGAGTGGCTGAACGGCTTGCAATGGCGGTGAAGACTGAGGTGCCGGCGTCCCCCTTTGGGGACGCCGTGCCAGACACGCTGGCGGCAGTGCCTTGCTGGTCTCCACACATACCGGCTGGAGGCTGCCGAAACAATTTGACCGCTCTTGCTCCCTACAAGTATGATCACAGCGGATGCCGGGATGCCGGTGGGGGTGCCATACAACATTCGCATGACATCGCCCCATGGTGAAGGTTCTTGCATCGTTGAAAAGCGCCTTCAAACAGTGCTCCCCGGTCGCGGCATAGTTGAAGTGCAGCCTGCAGGGCAAAACCCTATAAACCCTACCCTATAAACCCTAAACCCGAAACCCTAATGTGGAACAACCCTAGGCGGAACACCCAATAGACTAACAAAAATAATGAACACTTACAGTAAGCCACCGGTGACCTCAGCTTGTCCTTCTTCCTGTACTGGAAGTAAAGGTTCAAAATCACAGTGCCGCTCGTTGGCGGGGTACGTGGCTGCCCGAGTTCCGAAGGAGTCATTGGTTGGTACATGTTCGGGCAAGGGCCAGCACGGTGTTGCCTATGGCAAAGGCACTCTAAAAGCTTGGCCTTGGCGATATCCGCGGCGGTGCTTGCAGATATATTCTCGCGCGTGTTTTGCACTGCGAGAACTGTGATTCTCAAAGAGAATGAGAAAAAATAATAGATGTATTGTAGATGTACAGTGCAAGCCTTTAAGGACCCAATGTTGCAAAACATTGTTGTTACTTATGTTAATGTTGCAAATTATTTTTTTGCCAACCGAATTGGCCCCCAATGTTGCAACACATTGGGCGGCTATCGCCCAATGTTTTAAAACATTATGGTTATGTTGTTTAATGTTTTTAGATAATGGGGCTACCGCCGATGAGTTCCCCAATGTTGCAAAACATTGGGGGCTATGCTCTCAATGTTGCGCGTTATTGTTGTTATTATGCCGCTGCACGGAACTATTCACATATGTTATAGTTTTTCAGTTAAAACACACCGTCCCTGCTCAATGCTGTTGTTTTTTTGCAACAGTATCATTGAACGCTGCCATGTTGTCCTGTCAATGAAACTATGCAACCCACACATTCATGTCACATGTTTGTCCATACAACACTCTAAGCACACGTCACCTGCAAAAAAACTGTTCCTTTCTACGTGTGCCTGGGATGTTGTCACTGTCTTTGGGGCTCTGGCTTCAATGTTGCGAAACAAACCCTTAAGCCCTAAACCCTAAGCCCGCAGCCCGAAGCCTTAAAGCCTAGGCCCTACACCCTAACTAAGCCCTAACCCTAAGCCCTAAGCCCTAACCCTAAGCCCTAAACATTAAGCCCTTAGCCCTTTTAAGCCTTAAGCCCCAAGCCTTAAACCCTAAGCCCTAGACCCTAAGCCCTACACCCTAAGCCCCGAACTCTGAGGCCTAAACCCTAAGCCTTAAACCCTCAGCCCTAAACCCTAAGCCCAAACCCTCAGCCCTAAACCCTAAGCCTTAAACCCTAAGCCCTAAACCCTAAACCCTAAACCCTAAACCCTAAACCCTAAACCCTAAACCCTAAACCCTACACCCTAAACGAGTCGTCGTCATTGGGTGATTCCCGAAGATTAGAGGCTGCTGAGGCTTCACCCTCTGCAGTGATTTAGGGTTTAGGGTTTACGGTTTAGGGTTTAGGGTTTAGGGTTTAGGGTTTAGGGTGTGCTTCAGCGGCTCTCTGATCGATCGCGGGCCGCTTCGCGACCGGGTCGCGCTCGCGGCCTAGACTTTAGGGCTTGTAGGGTTTGGGGTTCTGGGTTTGGGGTTTAGGGTTTGGGGTTTATGGTTTAGGGCTCAGGGTTTGTAGGGTTTGGGGTTTCGGGTTTTGGGCTTGGGGTTTAGGGTTAATCCAACCCCTGAGGTAAACCCTTAGCCTGAAAGTGCAACCCTGGAAAGCCTCGGGCCCAACAGACGCAAAGCTTCTGTGAGGATGGTTTAGGGTTTAGGGTTTGGGGTTGAGGGTTTTAGGGGTTAGGGTTTTGGATTTTGGATTTTGGGATTTATCATTGAGAATCTCTTGTGGCATGACCACTCCTGCCAATCAAGCTTCTACGGAAACCTTGACCCAGAGTCGAAACAATAAAGACAAGGCGTCGACAACTGCGCCATGCAGAAGCTCTGCGGCGTGTCCCGCGCATCCTTGGATTCTTGAGTCGGCCCTAGCCCGCCCACACACCAGGGCCTAGGTTTCGGGTTTAGGGCCTAGGTTTCGGGTTTAGGGCCTAGGTTTCGGGCTTAGGGTTTCGGGTTTAGGGCCTCGGTTTCGGGTTTAGGGTTCAGGGCTTAGGGGCTTTGGGTTTAGGGTTTAGGTGAAAGAAACCATGAAGGACAACGTACAAGCCAACGATTGCTCCAGCCAAAGTATCGGTCAATATGGATCTCGAACAGCCCCTACTACATGCAGGGTTTGGGGTTAAGGCTTTGGGTTTCGGGTTTTGGATTTCGGGTCATGGTGAGGAATGTTCTGTTATATCCTACTCCCTGTTCAATCCCTAATCCGACCCAAAGCAATCTCGCCTTAAAACAAAGGGTGCGGAGCATATAGGAGCGCATACAGAACCCTTCAAGTAGCCCAGCTTCTCATAACCCTCATAATCATAACAAGTCGAAACATCGTCTCACTCAGCCGGGAATCCTCCCCTCTGGTGCTTGACTCAGAGGCAGTCGTCGAGGTGGTCTCCTGAATTGGAGGGCCAACGTTTAGAGTTGTGAGTGTTCAAGAGTTTAGGGTTCGAGGTTTGGGACTGTCGAGAACTAACGTGGTAGATCGATGCTTCCTGCCTGAGCTTCAGAAAAAACACCGGAACCGCGTCTTACACTCAGTCAGTGCATGAGTTCCCTCGATGCTCCCGGAATGTAGGTTGACCTAGACCCAAAACCCCGAAACCCCAAACCCAAAAATACCCTAAAACCTACACCCCTAAACCAATAAACCCCTAAACCCCAAACCCTAAAATACCCTAAAACCTACACCCCTAAACCAATAAACCCTAAACCCTAAACCCTGAACCCTAAACCCCTAACCCCTAAACCCCAAACGGCTGGCCGGATGTAGCCGTGAGCCTTTGGGCACAGAATCCTTGGAGCCCCTCTCCGAAAGTCTATACGGGAATATGCCACAAAAAGGGTTTAGGGTTTAGGGGCTTAGGGTTTAGGGTTTAGGGTCTAGGGTTTAGGGGTTTAGGGTTTAGGTGCTTAGGGGCTTAGGGGTATAGGTGTTTAGGGGCTTAGGAAGCTCCCTACGGGTCCCTTTTTAAGTCCCCAAAATACTGGTGAGGGTTTTAGGGTTTAGGGTTTAGGGTTTAGGGGTTTAGGAGGTTTAGGGGGTTTAGGGTTTAGGGTTTACGGTTTAGGGCCTAGGGTTTTGTTTGATACTGGTGATGGTATAAATCCTGCATTACCTTAAGGACCCCAAACTATGGGAATGATGGCATGTTCTTTACCATGGGTAATGCAGGATTTCTCTCATCAGCCCTAGTACGAGACCCTTATAAAACAAAAGACCCTCAAATCAAAGCGACCCTAATTCAGAGAATTAACCCTAAACCCTAAACCCTAAACCCTAAACCCTAAACCCTAAACCCTAAACCTTACCCATTTGGGACTAAAGGCTCTGCAGAGAATCCTCTTCACTACTCCACCGCCGCCTCCTCCTGCTTCCCGATTCTGGGCACATGCCATATAGAGGCCTTAAGAATTCAACTGAGGTCGTGGGGCTTGTTCTAGTAGAACTAGAATAAGGAGCCCTAATGAGCAGTACTCCTAAGTACTCCAGCCCTAAGCCCTAAACTCTAAACGCTAAAAACTAAACCCTAAACCCTGAAAATTAAACCCTAACCCCTAAACCCTAAACCCTAAAAACTAAACTCTAAACCCTAAACCCATGCGCGTGAACCCCAAGACTTCAACCCCCAGCCCCAAACGAGCTGACCACCTCATCGACAACATCTGCCGGGGGGATCCTGGGCTGAGGCGAGGACGGCACCGGCAGGTGAAAGAGGGGCCGAAATAATGAGAATCGGGCTTGAAACTATATTATACTATAATTATAGTAAGGTACCGCCAAAACCCTATTCTAACCATTAAGGCCCCTACATTAATATTATACTATAATTATAGTAAGGTACCGCCAAAACCCTATTCTAATTATGAAGGCCCCTACTTTAAAAGAGCCCAGCCGTCGACCGGCAGTCTCCCATGACGGCTGCCCAACGAAACCTTTGCGTTAAGTCTTGGCCCTGAAACCTCCTTCCCCAAAACCCCTAAACCCTAAACCCTAAACCCTAAACCCTAAACCCTAAACCCAAGACCCCCAAAGACGAAACTCCAGACCAAAAGCCCGATTCTCATGGGCTTCGCAGGCGCCGGGTGCACGGAAAAGGCCTTGGGGAGGGGGTCTGCGGGCGTCGGGCCTCAGCCGCTTAGGGCTTTCGGCTTTTTTTGGTTTAGGGTTTAGGGTTTAGGGTTTAGGGTTCATTTTGGGTTTTCGGGGTTGAAGTCTCAGTTTGGGGGTTGCGGCTTTGTTTCGTTTAGCAAATTTAGGGTTTCGTGATTTCAGGGTTCGCGGCTCAGGGCGCTAGAATCCAAACAAGGTTTCAGCCTCTTCGGGTTCAGCAATGCTACCCGGTGATTAAATAATTACCAACACTATTTTTTGGGGGGGGGTATTATCACTATGGTATAATATACCCCCAAGCCCTTTTTAAGGCCCCTACATTGTGGATGACTTTCTTCCGCAGGTTTGAGCTTAAGGATGCTACTCCCATGTTCCTCGGACTGACGGCAGGCTCTCAGGTAATGACTGGGGTCTAGGGTCTAAGGTTTAGGGTTTGGTAATGAATTTTGCTTCCCCAAAAACCTACCGCAAGCACTATCCCCGAATTGTTCTTCCTCGGGGTGTTCTTTGAACGAACGCCTCCAATTCGCCAGGGATTTGATCAAATTGCGGGCCCCTGGCCGTTGCCCGAATCGGGGAAGCCCAAAACTGACAACCTCTAAGAGAGTGAGCCCATGCAAAACCGATCGCGCCAAAGCTCTCCACATCCATTCTGGGAGCGTCCAGGCTTTTTGTCGGCGTCTCCTTCTCCCTGCCGAAGCAGCCGCAAGATATGAATACATATGAATATGTAATTACACATGTACATGTGCATGTGTGAGTGTGTGTGTGTGTGTGCACGCGCCGGTGTGTTGCACATTCCCGCGCTCTTCTGTCTTTCTGGAATATGGTATCATCCAGCTGCTTAGTTTAACGAGTTGCACAAGCGCAGCCGCCATGATCTTCGCATCAGCGTTGCTTTCACGCCCTTAGACGAGGGAGGCTGATTTGTCATTGGTCTCTGGACCTTTCCAAAGACGACACAAGAAATCCAAACCCTCCGAATCCTTCACTGCTGCATCCACTCAACCCTAAACCCTAATCCCCAATCCCTCAACCCTAAGCCCTAAGCCCTAAGCCCTAAACCCTAAACCCTAAACCCTAAACCCTAAAGCCTAAACCCTAAACCCTAAAGCCTAAACCCTAAACCGGCCTAAACCCCAATCCCAAGTAAGATCCGCGCCTGAGGCCGATGCCCTTCCGGAGGATCACCGTCCAGGCAACCTCGGGCTTGCGGCTTGCGGCTTGGGCTTTAGGGTTCAGGGTTCCTTTAAGGGTTCCTGTAAGGGTTCCTTTAAGGGTTCCTGTAAGGGTTCCTGTAAGGGTTCCTTTAACGGTTCCTTTAAGGGTTTCTGTAAGGGTTCCTTTAAGGGTTCAGAGTTTTAGGGTTTCGGGGTAAAGGGTTTAGGGTTTTGGGGTTCAGGGTTTTGGGTTTTCGGGTTTGGGGCTCAGGGTTCAGGCCGAGTTCAGGGTTTAGGGTTTAGGGCTTCGGTTTTAGGGTTTAGGGTTTTGGGTTTGGGGTTTTGGGCTTAGGGTTCAGGATTTAGGGTTTTGGGCTTAGGGTTCGGGGGTTTGGGGCTTGGGGTTGCTCCTTCTCTGCCGAAATACGGGGCCTCACTGCGACTGCGACTTTCAAGCAGCTTCCGAGAAGCTGAGCAGTGGCATACTACAGGGGCCTTACTGAAGGGACGGTTTAGGGGTTTAGGCTTTAGGGTTTAGGGTTCAGGGTTTAGGGTTTAGGGTTTAGGGTTTAGGGTTTAGGAGTGAGTAGCTGTAGCCGGAAAGACCGAGTACCTGTGGCCGGAATTACCTACCTGTTTAGGGTTACTTATTACGGTTTCTATATGTAGCCCCTTAAAAAGGTAGGTCTTTTCGCTTACAGGTAGGTGTCTTATTGCATAAAGGCAAGGAACCCTGAAGCCCTAAACCCTCAACCCTAGACTAGACCCTCAACACTAAACCCTAAACCCTAAACCCTGAACCCAAAGCCCTAAGCCCTAAGCCCTAAACCCTAAACCCTAGCCCTAAACCCTAGACCCTCAACCCTAAACCCTCTATTTTGGCTTGTGTCTTGTGGCTTCTGCACATCGGCTTTCCCGTTCAGCCGGTTCAGCGAGCTGTTACGGCGTGGGGCGGCTGGGATTTTAAAGCTTGGGCTTTGGGTTTAGGGTTTAGGGTTTAGGGTTGAAGGCTTGAGTTTAGGGTTTAGGCTTGAAGGCTTGAGTTTAGGGTTTAAAGTTTAGGGTTGTTTAAGGCTTGGGCTTTGGGCTTAGGGTTTAGGGTGTAATGCTTGGGCTCAGGGTTAGGACCGTTAGGATTTTGGGTCTCGGGTATGTGGAGGAGACGTGCAGGTCTACCGAAGCCCTTACACACCCCAACCGGCTCTAGAACATGCCATCAAGTACGGGGCTCAGGGTTTACAGTTTCTGATTTCGGGCTGTGTGTTGGGGTGCTGAGCGAGGGCCTTGTCCTCCCTAAACCCTATATCCTAAACCCTAGACTTGAAACGAATGCACAGCGACCGGTGGATGGCCAAGGGTTTATGGCTTCGGGATCCCTGAACCGTACCTGTGGCCCAAAAGACCGACCCATTTTAAGGAAGTATATATAGAAACCATTGTTAGGAACCCTAAAAAAGGATGTCTTTTCGGCTACAGGTAATCCCTCCTAAACTCTGCACTGAGACCCTCCCGACATCATGCTGTGAAGCAAGGAGGCCAGTCCCAGGCAGCTGATCATGGTGTAGAAAACGAAAAGCAGACACCTTAAGAAGGGCCGCTGAGAGTAACCCTTCTACTCACCCCTACGGCTGATGGACAAAATCCTGCATGACCCTATATACCTAAACTATGGGATTTATGGTGCTATACTATATTTGGGTCATGCAGAATTTTGTCCATGAACAGTATGAACCTTTATATACACCCTTGTAGTAGCCCCTTGTAATAGCCCGTGTATAAGCCCTGTTTCACTTCCTGGTGGTGAACGGCTGTATGGGACGACTTCTGCTAATTGACCCAACCCTAGAGCACATGAACCCTAAACCCTAAACCCTAAACCCTAAACCCGAAACCCTAAACCCTAAACTAGGACCTAAGGTACATCCCAAACTTCCCTTCTCTCATTGGTCTCAGGTCTGTGCAACCACACATCTGAAGCCGATTTGCTGATAGCCGTAATATAGGGGGTTTAGGGTTTAGGGTTTAGGGTTTAGGGTTCAGGGCTTAGGGTTTAGGGTAATATATGGGCCTTAATAATTTTGATAGGGTTTTGGGGAATATTATACTGTAACTATAGTAAGGAACCCCCAAAGCCATGTTCTAACTATTAAGGCTCCTACATTACACCCGGAACTCTGAACCCTCAGCCCTAAACCTTGAACTCTCAACCACGCTCCGAGAGCTCCAACCTCTGAAGCTAAACGCAAAACCCTAAACCCTAAACCCTAAACCCTGAACCCTGAACCCTGAACCCTAAACCCCTAAATCCTAAACCCTCAACCCTAACTCTGAAACCCTAAACCATGGACTTTCGAGATGCCTCACTGCTGCTTCGCTAGCAAAGGGGCCGTATAAGTGAAATCGGGTCTTGAGTTATACCATAATATGCGGGTTAGGGTTTAGGGTTTAGGGTTTAGGGCTTAGGGTTTAGGGTTTAGGGTTGAGGGTGAAGCCTTTATAGTATGCTTCTATAAGGACTAGAGGGGAACAGCAGAACGAATCATTGAGTCAGGCTTCATGCTTAAACAAGGATGGTTTGCAGACGCCAGCACTTGAAAGCTTCCCACCACCGCTTAGGAGGCCTAAGCCCCGAAACCCCGAAACCCTAAACCCCGAAACCCTAAGAAACCCTACACCCTAAACCCTGAAGCCCGAAACCCTAAACCCTAAACCCCGATCCAACCCTAAGCTAGATCCCGAACCCTAAGCCCTGATATAGGAAGCCTTAAGAAGTAGAACAGGGTTTTGGGCTCCTTTATAGTATAGCTATAGATAAGGACCCTTTAAGGAATAGTATTGGTAACTATTTAAGCATCTATGAGTAGGTCTCTAAATTAGGGTCCCTTTTTGGATCCCCAATATAGTACGGCACCCTTATACAAAGGACCCTAAAAGGGACCCTAATTTAGAGAACTACCCCTATATGAAACCCCTTGAAGCCCTAAACTCGCCGAGCATCGTGGGAAAGGTGTGTGTCTCACCATCCGGGCTCTGCAGTTGCGCCAAGAAGGCGGTGAACATACCTTGGAAAGAATAGTGCGAGTTAGGATTAGGGGGATTTTTGGGGATACAGGCCCTAAGAATAGGTTAGGGGGATTTTTGGGGATATAGACCCTAAGAATAGATTAGGGGGATTTTGGGGGATATAGACCCTCTCCATAAGGTCCCTTTTAAGAGAGCCAGAAGTAGGGTTAGAAGGGTCCCCTTTAAGGGGTCTCCCTCATACTACCTACAAAATGGCTTTGACGAGGGGTCTGCGGGTTGTCGGGTTTAGGGTTTGGGGTTGTTTAGGGTTTCGGGTTAGAGTTCGGGGTTTAGGATTGAAGGTTTAGGGTTTAGGGTGTTGAGGGTTGTTTAGGGTTTAGGTTTCGGGTTTAAAGGTTTAGGATTGAAGGTTTAGGGTTTAGGGCTTAGGGGGCTTGATACTGAGACTTTTGAATAGGGATTGATATAAGCTTTAGGGTTCGCCGGAGGCCAAACCCAAGCCGCTTGAATTTCCAGTTTTTTTGGCCCCGAGACCGGCGGGCTACAAGTCGTGAAGAGTTGGGGGGACCGTTGTCCTTTTCTAAGTCGTGAAGGGTTGGAGAGGTCAAACCTTTGTCCTTTTACAAGTCGTGAAGGGTTGGGATGTCAAACACTCGTCAAGAAGGCAGCCGCCCCAATGGGGGGGACCTCACGAAGGCCCCAAAATGGTCGATTTTGCAATGACCGCTCCTCTTCCGGAGGCCAAACCCAAGCCAAGTCGCGAAGGGTTGGGGGATGTTGGGGGGTCAAACCCTTGTCCTTTTCCAAACCCTTGTCCTTTTCCAAGTCGTGAAGGGCTGGGGGGGTCAACCCCTTGTCCTTTTCAAGCCGTGAAGGGTTGAAGGGGGGGGGGGATCAAACCCTGCTCATTTTCCTGTCAAACCCTTGTCGAAAGGATGTGCTGGCAAAAACATCCGGGTCTAGGGTACAGTCTTTAGCACCACTCTATGGGAGGTGCCCGAGAGGGCCGGCAGGCATCCAGTCGCCTAGCTTTACCTAGGCTCCGCGTATGCGACGACTTTAGGGTTAAGGGAATCCAGAAGGCTTCCAGCAACTAGCGATCGGGGTGCTGTTCGACTCTGATCAGCCTGCAAACCAAGTTCGTCAGTGTTTATAGCGTTTTGGACGGTTTGGGGTATTGGGGTTTAGGGTTTAGGGGTTTAGGGTTTAGGCGTTTAGGGCCTCTTCAAGGGCTGAATGGAAGCCTTGGCGTGCTCGGGTCTGTATTCGACACGAGCGCCACGCCAGGTGCTGTAACAGGCCAATTCCGCATCGTCGTCTTCTCCCCGCCTTTCATCATGATCATGTCATCATCAACATCATCACCATCATCGTTATGATCATCATCTTCGTCATCGTCGATAATGCCCGCATCGCAGCTGTCATCAAAAAAGCCTCGCCGGGGAACTCGAAATGTCAGTCCCCGCTCGCACTGGCGCTACAAGCCAGCCGCCATAGTAGGTGGAAATCAGCCTGGGCAGTTTTACGAAAGGTTTAGGATGGAGGCCCTAAGCCCTAAACCCTAAACCGTTAGGATGGAGGCCCTAAACCCTAAACCGTTAATTTCAGTGTCTTTAAGGAGCTATGCCGCTTTGTCTTGTGGGAGTCGGTGCTGAGGATTTTTTTCTCTGTGACTCAGGCTCCCAGATGGCGGGTCTTGTGATCAATATAGGGGCCGAAACACTAGAATAGGGTTTTGGGGGTTCCTGTAACGGGTTCTTTAAAGGGTTCCTTAAGGGGTTCTATAAAGGGCTACCATGAGGGCCTAGGGTGTAGGGGCTGTAATTATAATCAGGAGCCCCCCACAACCCTGTTCCGAGTATGAAGGCACCCTACGTTACAGCTGCCATGTTTGTAAGTTCAGCACGACTGATGTCCAGCTGGGTTCTTGTCAAGGACGTGACTTAAGTTACCATAAGAGGGGTCTATAGCAAAATAATCGGGTTTCGTATTATGGCAACTTAAATGTAATTCCTTAAAAAGAACCCAGCTAGAGACTGCTTCGTGGCCAAGGTGACAGCCGGAGACTTTCATTGTTTTGCGCTGCTTTAGCGGATTACCCTGGCTGGTACCAGTCTTCCAACCACAACCACTATGAGTTGTGCCATGGTGCCTTTGGATTCCAGTCCCTCTGCTGCTTCTGCTGCTGCTCTTGCTCTGCACACTAGTCGATCTCGCTGCATACGCGTTGTGGGGTGAGAGGGAGGCCCTCGGCGACAATGAACTTAAGTCGGTCAGCATGAAGACTCTCCAGTTCATTTTGCAGAATTCAACCTTCTGGCCATAAACCCTAAGCCCCAAACCCTCAACCCTAAACCTTAAGCCCTAAGCCTTAAACCCTAAACCCTTAAACCCAGGAATGTTAGTGTGGCGACCCTCGGGTTCGGAACACCTCCGACACGCCGGCAGTGCACCATGGGACATGGGATAGTTCGGGAGAGCATCGCATGAAAAGAAATCATATAGAGGCCTTAATCGTTAGAATAGGGCTTTGGGGCCCATTATGCTATAATTATCATAAGGAACCCAAAAAATAGTATAGGTAAGCATTTAGGCCCCTCTAGTACCAGTCTCGATTCTTTCTACGCATCACCGGCATAAAGATGATGACGGTGGAAACAAGGTCAACATTAGAAGCAGTAGCAGGAAGATCGGTAGTCCTCTTCCACAAACCCTAAACCCTAAACCCTAAACCCTAAACCCTAAACCCTAAACCCTAAACCCTAAACCCTGAACCCTAAACTAAACGATGGGAAGTATGGCATACTCTTTGTTGTGGGTAATGCAGGATTGAAATCATCCACCGTCTTTCGGGGGTTCCCTGTCAAATTTTTACCCCAAAGCCCTATTCTACTTATTAAGGCCCCTAAGCCTAAACCCTAAACTAAACCCTAGGACCCTAAACTCTAAATCCCTAAACCGTTATAGTACAATTAATATACCCCCAAAACCCCACTCTACTTATTAAGGCCCCTACATTAGACCCTAAACCCTAAACCCTAAGGGTTTAGGGTTTAGGGATTAGGGTTTAGGGTTTGGGCTTAGGGTTTAGGGTTTAGGGTTTGGGTGTGGGTTTAGGGTTTAGGGCTTCGGTTTAGGGTTTAGGGTCTCGGGGCAGACTCTACTCTCGCTGACAACCAAAATCCCTGGAGAGACATGTTGGAACGAAGCTGCGGGAAAAGCATCAGTATGGAGGCATTGCCCACAATCGATCCGGTCACTGCAGTCGCCAAGACCATCGGATAGCCTCCAGTCAGGATTGAAGTTTAAACCCTAAACTCTAAACCCTAAACCCTAAACCCTTAAACCCTAACCCCTAAACCCTAAACCCTAAACCCCTAAACCCTAAACCCTAAACCCCCTAAACCCTAAACACCCTAAACCCGCATCGTGTTCCCCTGCCCCGGCTTCCTGCAAGTCCGAAATAGAACCCGGAGAGATCCTAACCGTCCAGTCATTCGGAAGGCACGGATTTCTCGTGGTTTAGGGTTTAGGGTTTAGGGTTTAGGGTTTAGGGTTTAGGGGTTTGGGTTTAGGGTTTAGGGGTTAGGGGTCAGGGTTTTGGGTTTAGGGTTTAGGGTTTAGGATTTCTCGTGGTTTGAAACTCCTGCGAGAAAAGCTTTGTCGAAGCGGAGCGCGACCCGGACCCGAACGGCAGTTAAAGGAAACTACAGGGTGGGGAGTTTAGGCTAAATAGGGCTTCTATAAGGCTTCTATAAGGTATAGAATATAGAAACCCTAAACCCTAAACCCTAAACCCTAAACCCTAAACCCTCTATAAGGCTCCTAGGACGGCAACTACCCACCTGAAAATGTCCTAGAAGAAGTCTTGGAAGTTGCAGAAGATCCAGGGGCCGCATCGGCCAGATAAGGGAACTTCAGAGCTAGGTTCCCGGCATCCCTAAACCCTAACCCCCAAACCCTAAACCCCGAAACCCCTAAACCCCTAAACCCCCTGACCCCTAAACCCCAAACCCTAAACCCCTAACCCCTAAAACCTGATCCCTAAAACCCTTAAACCCCTAAAACCCTAAACCTTAAAACCCTGAACCCCTAAACCCTAAACCCCCTCAGACCCCAAAGCAAAACTTAAGGCTCTCGCTCGGCGGGCCAACGTCCCAACCCATGGCCAGCATTGCAAAGCCTGGGCCAACTTCGAGGGCTAGGGTTTAGTTTAGGGGTTTAGGGTTTGGGGTTTTGGGTTTAGGGTTTGGGGTTTAGGGTTTAGGGTTTAGGGTTTAGGGGTTTAGGGTTTGGGGTTTTGGGTTTAGGGGTTTAGGGTTTTTTTTTAAAGTGGGTCA